AATTAGATAGATTTATATTCTCAAAATTTTTTACTTTTTGTTCTATTCCCGTTAAATCTCATTATATTTAGGTTTACATTGTGTAAATATAATCATATATATATTTTAAACATTCACTAAAAACTATAATCTATTATTTATATAGTTGTTAGTATAATCGATAATTAGTAAGTTTTTTTTAACTTTTAATCAATTATCTTTTTTAGTTTTATAATGTATAATATAAAAAGACCTTTCATATTCATTTTTGAGAAACTTATTTACATAGGTTTAAATATTAAAATTAAATGATAAAATGATATAATTAATTTTAAAAATTAAATAATAAAATGAGGTGGATGATGATGTGGCTTAAGGAGAAGAGAGAAAAAGTTAACTTTATATATATAGATTATTAAAATTCATTTTGAAATATAAATTTTTACTTATCATGTTTATGAATTGTTTTTTGGTAACTAGTTAGATATTAATATATAGGTAGTGGAATTTACATTATATGAATCTTTTGTTATAATATACATTATAATATATAGGATGTTTTACATATGATCTTCCCTCATTGAGAGGCGCAATCGTGTCGATATTTGGATCAAAAGTGACTTTTGGTTACTACCATTTTTCCTAAATCTTAATAGTCCAATGGATAGAAAACTAAACCAAAGCCCAAATAAAATTTTAGATGTATGACTGTATGAGAAAGGAACTGCACTTCACTGCAATACCATTCAAATTTAATGGAATTCTCTTCAATACTACTAAAATTGCTATTTTTTTCAAAAATACCATTATGAGTTTTGTTTTTCAAAAATACCATTAGCGTACATTGTTTTCTCCAAAAATACTAGAAAATTAAAACCTAACAATTTTAGCATTCAAAACTAATTTCTAAATCCAAAACACTAAACCCTACCCCTAAAAACTATACCCTAAATATAAATAGTCAACCTAAACATAAAGAAACATAATTCTATATCTTCAAAAATCAGATTTTTATGTTTATAATATTTTTGGAAAAATAATTTTTTTTTGTGATATTTCTGGAATAAAAAACATATTGTGATATTTTTGGAAAAAAACTTAAAATGTGCTATCCAACGGAATTTCTCAAAATTTCATATGGGGCACAAATTACTAATAATAAATATTATTACATT